GTCACAAATACTGAAGCCATCATTTTCATTTGACAATTAAAGGTTATGCTGGATTGTACAAGAAAAGATCTGGGGATAAGACAGATGGATGTGCCACATTCTTTAAGGAATCAAGATTTACATTGGTTGAATCAAAGCTTGTTTCCTTCAATAAACCAGAAGTCAAACTAATGGACCGTGACAATGTAGCTGTTGTGGTTCTGTTGAAGCCCAGGACTACAGGCAGTTCATCTCGCCACGCTAACAATATGGTGTGTGTGTCCAACACTCATTTGCTTTTTAACAGAAAAAGAGGAGACATCAAGCTTGCACAGCTGTCTTGCTTGTTTTCAGAACTTGAGGAAATAGCAAGAATTTCCCCGCCTGGTAAAGAAGGTTCTTCGTACTATCCAATCATATGCTGTGGAGATTTCAATAGCACTCCATTTTCTCCAATTTATAGTTTTGTTGTGCGTGGTTTTCTTGATTACACAGGAATGCACCGTGATAACTTTTCTGGGCAGAGCCATTTTCGAAACAGTTATCCACCAAAGTATGCCTTAACAAGCAATCTCATTCCATGGGAGTTAGGAATTACAACTTCGTGTACCAAGAGAAATGAGTCTTCAGAAACTGATGGAAATTCTTGTAGCAATGCAGAGGGACAAGACAATTTGCAGGCATCAGGATCTAGAATTCGTCCTGTTTCATCTTGTTGTGATGGCTCATTCCACGGTGCAGTACCGTTTGAGACTAGTGAAGGCAATCCTTCAAATTATAGAATTGCTGAAAATCGTGTGGGAAATAATGAGTGTTCTCACACTTCCAGTTCTACACAGTGCAATCCAGGGCAAAGTAAAGAACTTCAGTCTCCACAGAGTAGTTCATCATTGCCAAGGATTGACACTGCACAGTCACAGTCACTGGATTTCATGGAGCACGAAGAAGGAATACAAACCGGCAAGCATTCTGTAACAGATACGACTGAAAAAGATGCCTACAATGCCTGTACAATCCTACGACACAAATTTGACTTCTTTAGTGTCTACAGGCATTACTTCAAAGGTGGGCAACAGGAAGTTACTACCTTTCATGACCAATCAAGTACAACTGTGGATTACATATTTGTTTCTCCTGGGCAGCAGCAGTACTGCCGCAGGTGTCGGAGGCACCATGGACCCCTACAGCTGACAGGAAACCTTGGCCTGTTGAGTGAAAGTGGTATATGGAATCTTGATGGCCAAGGACTTCCTAATAAGTATTTATCTTCTGATCATCTTTCACTGGTAGCGTCATTTTTGTTGCATGTTTAATTACTGTTAGTCTCCTTTTTAACATTCTTTTAGCCTGGATAGCAAGTGCAGTTATTAGGGTGTGTTTGGCCCTTTTAGTTTCCAAGTTGTATCAAATTTTCAAATCCTCGTCCAGCTCTTGAAGTTCCGTCATGGGAGATATGTTCAACAGCTGCCATTAACGATTTTAGCAGTTCAGTTTAAATTGCGCGTTTTAAATTCTTGGTTTTTAAGCAGAAGTGTTTGCAATCCATTTGCGATTTATGCAACATGCTCAGTTTGTGTTTCATTTAAAAAAAAA